AACAAAAGACCCGAAATAATAAAGTGCTCGCAATTTACACTTAAATAAGTGATACCCAGAAGTTTAAACCAAAATGTTAGGATACACCGAGAGAGATTTGTGTAGCAAAGACAAGAAGTGAGCAACTGGTAGCTATAGGGGATGGCTGTGACACTCAACGGAACTGTATGCTTTACTGGGATTCCATTGCCTGTTGATTTGACCCTGAGGTGGTGTTCAAATTTAGTGCAGGAAATGGTTTGACGATAGCAAAAGGTGGAATTTGCACACGACACTTTCTCACAACATATATGTTTGCCGTAAATAGACTTTAGTGCACAATAAATGCCGGATTTCCTTTAGACGATTGGTTGTTCAAGGTCGTTTCGTCGTATGGTGGTAGTTATTCTTTACGTTTGCTAAAAAATGGTCATAATGAAGAAAAAGTTGCGCAGTCAAACAGTGTAACAGAACCACATTGCTCTGCAAATTTCGAGTGGTTAAATCGAAACCGAATTAGGCGGGCATGGAAGGATTGTCAGTTGCTCTATTCTGAACACATGCATAGGATTCCCAACCTTAGATAGTAGTTGCTTCAAAAAACTTAGCGACGATCGGTGTATACTGTTTATTGGTAGTCGTCTTAAGGATGTCCACCTTTCGCGATGCCTAGCAGTAGTACTATAGTGTTTATTGCCTTAGGACGTTAGTTTTTTTTCTGTGGAATCTAAGGTGTGTAGCTAGTCCATGCAATTATGCAAGCAATCTTTGCGAGTACGTTAGATTTGCATACATATAACTGATAAATTTTGTTTTAGATTGCGCACAGCTGAAAAACTGACGAAACAATGGCGCCATTATTGTTTCTTTTTGTTAATTCAAAAAGTAGAATACGTGTGCGACCATTGCTGATTGTTAAGCACGTGCACAAACGGTGTAAATCTCCGGATAATGTATTGTTTTGTTTTCTCTTCTAGGAGATCGATGGTCAGGCGTTACTACTTGTCAGCATGGAGTCACTTCGTAATTATATGAAAATTAAGCTGGGTCCAGCGCTAAAGATGGTCCACCTTATCAATCGCTTAAAACGCGGTTTAGTATAACTTTCCTTATTCTCACACGTTTTATGTATTACCTGTTAATATTCAGTAATTTTTATGTCAGTCACCTTATTGAGAGATAGATGAAATTTGTTGTAACTCCTTCAAGAGAAATCATTCTAAATTATAGTGGACTATTTTCGTAACATTTTAAGTGATCAGTCGAGAATGTGAAGATGTGATCACTTTCATTCAACTAATATAAAATGTGTACAATATGGCTTTATTCACTTAAGTTGATTGATCAGTACTAAATAAAATTAATTGTACTGTGTTGTAGCTTTCATTCTTAGTGTTCTGTATTTCCTGCATTACATGATACAAACGTTGGAATCACTAGCGACTAAAGCAATGTTACTAAAAGCATACTAGGTGGTTGAAAAAAATCTCGCTCTTTGAATTCGATGCTGAAATGCAATAAGCAACTTGACTGGAGATTGTAGATCATTGTTTTACCTCAATATATTTCAGTGTACGAAGCCTCCAGTGAAATCCTAAGACAAGGCATCTTTGTGTCTCTGAGATCAACTTTATTAGAGAAAAATACATTACTCATACTACGTAACCAAGACTAGGAAAATTAAGCTAGTTTCAGCAGTTAAATAACTAATTTGATTGTTTGGAGGACAAAGACTACCAAATCAAATTATGGCGAAAGTTTGATGGCTAAAAATATTGATTTCAGTTGAAGCCGTTTCCTCTCCAGTATAACTTACAGTGGCGACTAGCAGCACAAGCCAATACGCGCATTTCTTGCTGATTAGGTAAGACTCGTCAGCTGGATGTTCGTGCTTCCCAATGATTGTTACTGAGCTCACTGTCCATTGCACCTATGTTTGTAAGTGTTTTTTCGATTTGCGTATTTTCTTATATTTGAACTAGTGTTATTCATCTGCCATATAAAAATGATGGAATTCGCTACATGAATAAATTATCCCTCAATTTTTTTGTGATCACTCCACTAGTGTATACTCAACTGAATTATCAACGTCGAATTCTTCGCAGGAGTGCAGATGATTCTAAGTCATAACACCGAATTGGTTAACGCCCTGCAAAGCGCTGACCAGTGGTCAATCGCTTCGTTAGATGACGGTATATTTTAGTCTAGTCACGCTTAACTGTTTTCAAAGCCAAACCTACTTCGCGAACAATAACTTTAGAAGAAGAAAGTGGGTCGTTAGAGTTTCATAATCGTATCGACTGGTTGGTTGTTAATAAATAAAGAAGACAAGTAGTTCAGCAAATTCATCTTCTTTAGCTGTAAGTCGCTTGTGTGTACAATGTTTTTTCGTAAAAGTTGATAGTCACAAAAGAGTGGATCATCATAAGAAGAGTCGCTAATATTAATTAATACACATGGAGAATTGAATAAGGGTCACAGAACAGTGTGCGTCGGTGGCACAGTGGTTAGGACTCTCGCCGACCATGCATATGGTCCGAGGTTCGATCCCCTGCCGACGCACACACGATATCTATGGTCGGCCTGTGAAATTTGGGCTACCGATATCCATGCTGAAAATTCCATACTTGTACTGAAAAATACAGTGTGGCATCAAGCCGTAACCAAAATAAAAATAATAATAGCTTTATTCTGAATGGTATTTCGGTATAAATAGCATGAGGTAATTTAATGAGTGAGCTGTAATGAGGATGCACATTGAATCTTATGCTAAGAGTTGAGCGGAATAGATAAGTTAAGGAAACAAAATAAATAAAACAGGTTGGAAACAACAGGGTATTTACCATGACAACGGGAGTAAGACAAACTGCGGTCGTCTCTCTAAAAGTAGGACAGAGCAAGCTTCTGCATAGTATGAATAGATAGTTGGGTATCATGTTCCCGTAAACTGACATCTCGGCCATGAATTGGACACTGAAGGGCTCCGATTGCTTTCCGTTAACTTTCAGGTATGTGTGATTGAGTTCTGCGCAGGTTGCACAAGGAATGACAGTTCCCCATTCTCATCAAACACAGATCGACAGGATGGAAAGAACTCAGATCAGTTACTGAGCTGTAGATCATTTACCCCAGCAGATTTCTCATGCATCTGGCCATATCAAGGCGGATGATAATTTTCAGGCTGAAGTAGTTGGAGCGCGGTTCAAACCCCGGGTCTGTTGACAGAGAAACCTTCCCGAATGATTGCAACTTATGAATTCCACGTTTGTTTAATTGTGCCGGAATAACCCGTTAGTATACGATATTTCTGGATCAACGCACCAATATGTCCAGCTTATGTGAAACATATAAGAATGACATTGGAAGATGGAAATAGGTTCGACCTTAATCGGGATTCCAGCTGAATATAACTTAATCACAACGCATCGAGTCTGTGTATGGTTATTGAAGCTTTGAGATAACTGCAGAATGACAAGATTAATTATAACTTAGTCCAATGCAGTCGCACTTTCTTAAAGGCGTATTGATGTGTGGATTGATCTTAGAACGGCGCAACCTAGGGCGATATTAGAATAGAACTTGGGCACCGTGGTATAGCACAACTTAATATGACCATTAGAATGTACATATGACAGTAAACTAGTACACGCTGTACCTCTTGAGTGAGTCATAAGTGTATGGCTGGCGGGAGTAAGGAAATGCTCGAGAAATTCCTGTGAAAAGATAAATTAGCAGGGAATAAGGCAGTAGAAACCGATAGCAACTGAAGAGATCTCTCGAAACATAATAAAAGTCCTAGTCGGCACAATAAAGACCTAGCTAGAAGCGATTTCACCGGAGAAAGGATCATGTGAACTGAATAGGAATGAAGTGGTCGGAAGTTTTTTTGACATGATTTGAAGCTTAGGATCAAATGCAGCTGCTGAAGGCGCGAGATACCAGTAAGTCGGTTCTCAATTCTGCGTAAATGGAGATTGTTCAACATGCGGCTTATGATGACTAACGCAATTGAGGAAAATGATGCTATTTCAAGGGTCGTAGACTAGTTTTTCCTTCTTAAAGGTATAATTATTATTTAGTGTCTGAGTGATAATACCTTCCTACTGTCAGACGGGGTTGCGTAAGACGTAAATCCCAAGCAAAATTCATGTCAACAGCGCGATGGACAGGTTCGAAATAAAATGATATAGAAGAATAAACAACCAGGGAGATGTCAGGATAAAAATTCATTCAAGGGAGGAAATTGCACCATCAGAAGTGAAGACACTCAAAAGAGAAGAAACGTCGAAATATGACGAAAAAATCAATGAAACTTACTATAAGTAAATTAGTTATGTGTGATGTCAAACTTATTGAACCACTTCAAAATATATATTATTACTTCTGTCCCATTCGCCGAGTGTTTTTGCAAATCTACTCCCCTATTTATCCCACCACTATCAACCGTATCAACTGCAAAGCTTCAATATAATAGTCGTAATGATTGTTCATTATCCGTGTACAGTCCACTTGTAAGTCTGTCTGTGGATATCACTAAAGTCGACATTTCGAGATGCTGAATTGCATAGTTCATAGTAAATGTCATTCCGGATTTCCCTCAGCATTATCTCGTGCGATTAAGGCAGTTACACGCGTATACATATTTTTGAAAACTCAGAAACTAACAGCAGGCATTCCCTTCACTAAGTTTATTATATTAATGGCATTGCCGTGTGGACCAACAGATCTAAATACGCGCCCTGTGTGGGGAATCTGGTTCAGATGAAATATGTCAGGGATCTTTGGGAAGTCTGATCTGTCTACGCTTTGTGAAGGCCTTCTTAAATTTGTTAGAAACCTTAAAAGTAGAATAATTCTATTTGATAAGACAGTATTATTTATTTTTTGACGACGTAAAAAATACATGTTAATATTATTAGCATAATATTAACGTGCTCGCATAGCCTTCAGACTTTGTTTGTCTCTGGTCCTCCGATTTTATTGATAATACTGTTTCCCGTAACTCTGTTTCGGTGTTGCGCCATTCTTGCTGCAGGCGTTAGGCGTAAACTGCATCCATATACTACTCTAGTGTGATTGTGCCTTAACATATGCATTACAATCGCTTATTTTTCCCTTAAAGTTAATTTTTTTAGTCAGTAACTTAACACTTAAATAAATAATCATGCATGTCCCGATATTGTAGATTATGCCGACATACTGAAGTTGACCTCAGTCAATGCAAGTTACCTCCTAGAAGACATTATTTTGTTTAATTTGATTAATGGGGATTTTGGGGAAGTTTTTAGGCTTGAATCCTACCACAGTTCCTGTTTTCTTAAGAATTTTACGTAGTTTCAGATGTCCCTTCTGGGTATGGTGACACTGTATATGCCTAAATTTCTTCTAGTTTATGATGTGGTGAATTGTTTCTCTTATGGAGCTTCTTGAACCCCCTGATTAGGTTCCTGTGATAGTTGCTTGGCATTACTGCCTTTTCTGTTTCACTCTATGTTTTATAATGCCATACTTAGAATTTTCACACGGTACGTTAGACGTTATTTAAACCTGTCTTAACAGAGAATGGAGATAACCTTAGGTCCATAAGTGAACTGGAATGTGCTGACTTTCTTATACCACCGATGAATCACCGACTTTCTTCTGCCTGTTTTATTTTAGTCTGGCTTAGCTAACACTTCTCGTTCATTTTCTAACTACCACAGCGTCCCGATTATATTCTTATGTTGGAAAGCACGTCTTTTGATTTATCAAATTTGCGATGTCACTTCGATTCACGGTCTGCATTTCAGAATCTTTTGTGGTTACAAACCACTCAATTTTTGATTACAGTGTAGACTAAGTACTACACTCCGACATTTCATTGACAAACACAACGTCAATCTGTGATTGCATGAGTATTACTAAATAGGAATCTAAGATAGGGTAAGTCTAGGTCATTAACCCTCCCGGTTCCTAAATGAGATAAATCTTCTTAAGATTATCGCCTAGGTTAATATAGTATCTAAGATTAAAAATTCGGCAGTTCTGTAATGTTTAAGTATGGCTTGGGAATCTCGACGAGATTGCACTGATTTTCACATCTGGACAAGTTCTGAGAAGCAGATATACTACCGGGCGTTCAACTCTTACTATATTCCTTAACCTGATAAAGTCATATGATTATGTTAAATGTGGCATTGTAAAAGTATCTACTTCTATGAAGATTGTCGCGAACATACATTATATCAAACAAGACCAATGCAGCAGTGTATCCAGAAGGTCCATCTACTGAAATTGCAAGGAAGTGTTTTACACCTGCCAAGCTATTGTCTGTTTTCATGTGCGACGTCAAACAAAACACGATTGGGATGAGAAAGAGTTAGGGGTTGTCAAAGGAAAATATTCTACCGAATCATGGTGCCATTATTGATCTGTGAAACACAGATGAGTGTAGATAACCTGATCGGGGCAGTCGGAATGTTAAAAATGAATCTTTGGAGACTATTAGTGACGTAGCTCATTATCTTAACAATGGCATATCATCACCCGGATTCTGATAATCGTCGGTTATCTTATTATTCTCTTTTCAATACATCTTTATCTACTGTAGTTTCACTCCGTCTCCTTTCTTTACTTTTATGTGCCTCTACGAAGTGTGACAAATTGAAGTGATGCACTTCTTTGCAAAGTTCCAAGATAATAGGTCAGTTAGTTATTACCATAATTTAGATTTCCTAGACTGCCAACTATTCAAATACTTCAGGACTCGAAACAAGAGAACAACGATTCAAATATGACCTAAGGATGTCTGTTGATCATATTATACATAATTACCCACAATAATTAAAGCCAGTGTCCACAAAATAAAAATATTTAGCAAAATGTGACGCACTCACATAACATTTAGATAGCTACCTAATTCCGAGACGAAACATGGAGATAGCAAACGAGGCGTTCAATATTTAAATTCTAGGTTTTATCCACAATACAAAGTTATTTAAGCTTCATGAAGTAGTAATCACTGAGTTTTTGCACGTAGAGCCGCACGTTTGCCAGTTAGTGCTTGGAATCCAGATGTAACTGTCTTCACTGTGAAACGAGAACCGCATCTCCGACAATGTAGAAACAAAAGGCGTGAGTCTTTGCATAAGTCTGTCTCCGAAGACTGGCAAGTACCACAAAGAACGTAGGTTCCTACAAAGTAAAGTAAATACTTCATAACGATGAACAAATCAAAACTAATCTACCGTCAAACATTTCACAGAAAAAATTGATAATTCAACACGATACAGCATATGATTCGAATAACACCTAATATTAAGCTTATAGAGGTAAAAATCATTATTTACTGCATGATAATCGAAGATAAAGAGAACTTTGAAATAATTTAAACCAAAAAGCCACCGAAAATATATGAAAAAAGTAGGTAGTGAGAATAGATGTATCCATCACTACGATTATGACTAAGTTTACATACACAATGAGTCATCCACCAGCTTCTTTTGTTTGTATACAATTAAAAAGAATACCAACACTTCTCAACAAAGACAATAACATTACGAACTTAATGTCAGTCTGTCTGGTTGTAGATACCTTCCAACTTAATCTTATCCCAGTTATTAGTATGTTGCTTCAGACACTGGAGAAAGATGCGCCATGTATATCCCAGAAAATGTGACAGACGGTAGCTTATAGGATAATCCACCACACTGGGGTGGTGCTACATAGCAAACGGTGAAGAAATTCTGAATGCTTTCCCTAACCTCTGGTGTTATTATGAATTATTACTAAGAAAGCATAGTACATTGCTAAGCACGCAATCCACACAATCTTTGATGAGTACAATCTAAGTTCCAGCGAAAAAATAATACCTAAAATTCAGACTGCATTGTACCCTTATATCCACTTTTAGGATAAATTTACATAAGGCTAGAGAATGCTAACATCCTTGGTGGCAACCACTCGATATTGACATTTGCCTGAAATGCCTAGAGTACGGTTTCATGATTAAGTAAATTAAGCGTTTTCACTAAATGAATACAATTGGTAGGAAGCTTAGTGCGAATCCCATTCCTGAAGACTTCCATCCAAGTCAGGCAACTACATTTGTTTAGTATGCAGGACTCATGTAAATAAATAAGAAAAATAAATAAATATACGAATGGACAACCTAGCTGATGACTTCGTCCAAAATAAAATTTTCTTTCGCTGAAACCGTTTTACAATACTTCCACGTAAATACAACCTGATAACTGATGGCTGGAGATGACATCAAATGCACTTCAGAATGAAACCCAGTTTTAGTCGCCTATCTTAATGGACCATTGAATGATCTACTTCCCCACCACGAACACTAACTCTCAACACTTATCGGAATGCAACTACAAGTGACTACCACTACATAAACTATCTGTGTTGTTTTCACTGCAAACCATTGCTTGTAGTTAGTGTGGAGACCACTTCTCATTTATTGGCTTCCGCATACTAAGGTCACCTGGAGCAATCACAAAATGTTCACATCAAAGGTTGATCATCGTTTAAGATTAAGTAAGTTTCATAAAAAATTTTCAACATATAGAGTGAAAATTCTTGAGGGAAATGATGGTATTCCATAGGTATTGTCCATTTGTTTTCGTGGAAACAAGTCATGTAAGTTGAAGTGTGAATTTATCACTTTTATCAAAAGGTTAAGTGTGGGGAAATTAAATATAAAAACTTACTACAGTAATTCCTAAGCACTGGTTCCATGTGCTTACTGGTATAACGCCCTCGAATAAGCAAAGCGCCATTTGCATCTACAGAACCTTGTGTACCCAACTCAGTAAGTATATAAGTGGTGAGATGGGATTGATCTCTGTTCAAAGAACGGCAAATTGTAGAAAAGTTTACAAAGAGCGTCTTCTTCGTTCCAACACGAGCCATTTGAGGAGGGACCATTACAAGCTTTCTTTTTTGATCTGATACCAGTTCGGGATTTAAATCACCAAGTTGGGCAAAAACCCTTGTTAGCAACTAAAAAATTTAAAAAAGAAAACTTGTGAGAAACCATAAACAAAAAGTCAAAACCTCAGAATTCGGATGGCTGTATGAAAGGAACGTTTTGTAAGGATGAACAGAAATCCATATTTTTCTATAATGGATAAAAGCTGTACAAGATGGGCTTTTACTTTGATCAACATGAGTAGTATATATATATATAATATATATACTACCCATGCCGAGGAATTAGACCAGCGCTTAATGAAGCTTAAAAACGTGAAGGCGACTACATGGACCACAAGTCACACTAATCGGAACAACGGCATCTTAGACCATGAACATATCTGGTATTGCTGAGAAACATAGAAAACACATGCGCTACTCATCTATCCAGTGTATCAAAAAGTTCTAAAAGGACAAAACTATACCCTAGAGCGGAAATTCACCGCTCCACTGCATTTCAGAGAAAATTTGGTTGTTAAATTTTTTGTTGTTTCAAATAAACTGTCAGGGACGAAGCTAAAAAAGACAAAAGAATTACAGAGTGACACTGACAAACAAATTAAGCAGAGAAATTGTACCAACTGTACCAAAATACAGTACTGGATATGTTGGGTATCTATTGTCAACGAGCACATAGCGATGGTTGATCCTTCCAATTCGGTTCAGCTAACCGCATCTTCAATTAAAGATCACTGATAGTAAATTGATTAAATAAATAATGGATGGGATAGGTGAAAGAATTCTGATCCTTAAGCAACATTCCTTGCGGACTTAAACCATCTATTGGTGCGTGGACATGTGTATATAAGAAGCAATTAACTATGAATTCTTCACGTATTCAGCTTGCAGATGAGGGTGCTACATATGTATTCCACTGAATGAACATCTAACTTAGTAATGACAATTATACCGCAATTAAGACAGGCACTACGTCCCGTCTGTGGAAGAAACAACAGTAAACGTTGTGATCAACGAAAACAAGAGAACATAAGGGTTACCTAGTATTTGTCAAGTATTTTGGATTATTGAGGCGATAAAGACAGAACTATGGTACATAAAAATACCTTCATGAAAAGTCCCCAAAACACACCACCTAAACTGAACACTTCGATAAGTAATTAGATACAGTTTTTACATACACTTCATTTACTTTGTGGGGAACATGTCAGACAGAGGGATACAAACTTGACGAATTCTACGTCTAAAATTCTATGGTTTATATTTACTCATAAGCTAGATGGAATCTGCAAACAAACCAGACTACACAACTTCGAGACTTAATTTTGTTTCCTAAGTCGTGGAGTTACAATTGATAAGACTGTAAGCATTATAATGTGTTCAAAACGAGATCTAGTGACTAAGGCTGTTTCACTGTGATAGACCCAATAAACAAAGATGAAACTCCCGATAATTTTATTACATTTTGTCGAGCTACCTACATTTTTCGAAATAGGATTTTATAAGAGATGTAGAAGTTTAACTTGTCGCATTTCAGGTAATACACTTAAGTACAGAATGGATACGCAAAGAAACTACAATAAACGGAAAACAGGATGATGGCGTGTAGAATAATGAGGATTTGATGAATCTGTGATGTTATAAAAGGTGAAGGCATCCAAGTCACAGTAGACAATCTACATCAATATTGCCTAGAGCTATAGGTTCTTAGAATCTCGTGTCCCCCAGGCGGAGAGTGTACACCCCCTAATCGGCTCAGACCTGCATATATAAACTTTGACTACACCTAGGATTATATCAACAGCGCACTCTAAGCCGACCAAGATCTTCCTCTGTAGTTAGTTAGTTTCAATCATAAAAGCGTGCCGGGGCCATTTTTATTAATACATATCGAAATTCAATAAAAGCAGTAAAACTGGGCATCCCTGACAGACACCTATAGTTTTCTTTACTTCAGGTATTAACTCTTCGTATATTTTCGAAACAAATTTGGGCATCTGATTTTTAGTCTTGCTCTCTTTCATTCTTCCCTTTTTATTTACTTTCTCGTTCTATTTATCCGACTTGAGAGGATGACTGGCTGACATCAGACGGCCCATGTTTTCGCATGAAACCAAACCATTTACCAACGATTTCGTTGAATGGTTGGAAAACGATCAAAAAAGTCGCGAGTGCGAAAAAGTCCCATCTTACATGGCCTAATTAGAGAACACCTGTAGAATATATTACCTTAAAACAAGATCTACCGCTATGGGTGAACATTTATGCAACACGACTGCCTCCAATGCATTGATATAAGAATAAAACTTGGGCACTGTGGTAGAGTGTAATTCCATTATGGGTAAATTTTATTTTGATAGAGTCTCACAGTGTTATACAGTAATATTTACTGATGACGTTTCGAGCACAATTTATTGCTCATAATCATATCAAGTTAATCACACGACTTCCTAAATTCATTTATATAGTTCCATTGTTTTTCACTTGATTTGATTGGTAGTATTATTTTCCATATTTCAGGTATGAGAGATGATTCATTCCTATTGCATGTGTTGGGTGTAGATTCGATGAACAAAGATTCAGTAATCAACCTCTCTCTCCACCTACCTAGATTACTTTTTAGAATTTTAACCCTCTCCCACCCTATTGTGTGGTTGTGTGTTAATGCATGCATTGCAATTGCCGAGCAATGGCACTAAGTAGCACAAAAAAAGACCTAAATGATGAAATAAAACAGATAGAAGAGGCGTTGGTTCTAAATAACTATCCTCTAAAATTCATTAGGAAGATTGAAAAACGCCAAAAGAACAATAAAAAGAATTGTGAAACTGGTAATAATAACATAAATAAGAGAGAATATAAGTCATCTACAGTTATACCATATAAAGAGGGGACATCTGAGACCCTACGTAGGATTCTTAATAAAGCAGGAATTAGGGTGGCATTTAAACCTGCAAACTCACTCAGGGACAAGCTCTGTAGGTTAAAGGACCCAGTGGACCCAATTAGACAAAATAATATAATTTACAAAATACCCTGCAATGACTGTGAGGTCAACTACATAGGTCAAACTAGTAGGTCAGGGGTAGTCAGATTGTCAGAACATAAGAATTTAGCTAAGGTAAGAATGGTTGACCCCGAGAAGATAAGTAATTTAGAAAAAAGCTCGGCAATTGCAATGCATGCATTAACACACAACCACACAATAGGGTGGGAGAGGGTTAAAATTCTAAAAAGTAATCTAGGTAGGTGGAGAGAGAGGTTGATTACTGAATCTTTGTTCATCGAATCTACACCCAACACATGCAATAGGAATGAATCATCTCTCATACCTGAAATATGGAAAATAATACTACCAATCAAATCAAGTGAAAAACAATGGAACTATATAAATGAATTTAGGAAGTCGTGTGATTAACTTGATATGATTATGAGCAATAAATTGTGCTCGAAACGTCATCAGTAAATATTACTGTATAACACTGTGAGACTCTATCAAAATAAAATTTACCCATAATGCCTCCAATGCAATTGCGATAATGAATTCCAAAGTTAACCGCATTAAAGAGTGAAATCCACTCTGAAACTGGTCATATGTTTTTGATGAATAGCGAAAACAAAAACTTACCATCTCATAATCGTACCCAGATAAGTCTCGGACAACTACTTCTGAGGGAGCATTAGATTCAACCACGCCGCTTTCATCCACATCGACTGGTTTGAGCTTTTTACGCTTTTTCTTGTCTGAGAAATGTAGTTCATCTGCAATCTTATCCGCGAGTTCTTTAACTCCTTTATCATTGACTGAACTTTTAACCTGATCTTTGACGTCCTATAGAACTCAGTAATCAATTCTGCTGAAAATTATCATTTACATCATCTTTTATCACAGCCCCTTCCAAACTCAAGGGTTTGTCCTTCTTTTTCTTCTTTGAACCAAAGTCAATAACATCCTGATCCTCCATTTCGTCAGCCCCTTCTTTTTGATCGGTAGAGGTAACCTTTGTCTTTTTCTTTTTCCTACTTTCGAAATCTAAAATGTTATCCTGTAGAGAGGAAACTAGTTAAACACAACTATTGTCCAGACTCACGGTCATGACAATCACGTCCGTCAAGGTCGTTCAGCGCGAGCCCTTCAATGTCCAACATAAAAGAAGTTTCAGAAAACAAATTCACATTTCTCAAATTGGTTAGCAATTTTTAAACTAATTTGTAGTTTACACTGTTCAGGGTAATTATTTCATCGTAATTTCCTTAAGAAACGGTGGCTGTTCGGGTCACAAACTGTTATGTGCGTGCTACCAAAAATCACTACCAATCAAAAATGCATAGAGCTATGTACCACTAATTAATTGGTATTAATAGTTTTATACGACTTACATCAATTATTAGTGCTCACTAGCCAGCCAGATCGAAGTGACTTTAATACCGGACGGCCGTTTCTCTCCTTCAGAGTGGAAATAAAACGTGCTGTACACTGCTTGATTCGGTTGAGTCAGTTCAAACCAACTTAATAATGGCTTGCCACTTGATCAATCGGCCACCACATGTATCAAATTCACACGTCACAGATTAGTTTGCAGTTTTCCAAATTGATTCGAAATTTACACACTTCTAGTGGTGAAATTTCACACAAAAGTTATCCTTTATCAATTTTAAATATATCTTCGAGTTTCGTTACGACGGATTTTTATGCTGTAATGGAGAAATTAATGAAAGGTTATGAAGCCATATATTGTCGTTAGCTAAATGTACTTGTAGAGTAAATAATTTATATCAGACAGCGGTTGTTTTATATTGTGAGGGGGAGTTCGCGAGCTGGAAGTCGTGAATGAGTAAAATAGTTGTCCACCGAAAACCAAGATGTCACCAGTTTGAAAAAAACGTAACTGAAGAAATAAAATGTACCTTCAATAGCACAACTCACCACAGGTTTGGGATTTTGCAGCAAGTAGAAATTAATTTTGGTCAAAGAGAGGAGCCTTGGTGCCTACACTGCCTATATTTTGTTATGTATCTGTATGTACTTGAAGGAATAGCACACCAGTTCCTCGGGATTTCATCATCTGATGGATTAACCAGTAACTTTGTTACTTGAATCTCCTTACACTGAATGGAGCATAATGAGGAGAACGAATACAGTGATTCAGCTACCTGTGATGCCATAATACAGTTCCATCAGGCACTATACGAGTGACCGTTCTTCGAAGTATTTCCCTTTCTTAGATCATACTTGTCAGAACCTCCTCGTTTGTGTTTAGATGACATCATTCTCATGAAGAGTCTCAAAGTTACAGGTTGCGTATGGGAGACAGCGTGCTTAAGGTTTTACGTCCTGTTATGAGATTTTAACCTTATGTTCGATGCAGATGGCTGAGAATTAGGCCGCCTTTGGTCAAAATTCAATCTGTCAGCCAGCTAGAACTCCTAAACTCTCTATCGACAAATAAATTGTGATTATATTTATACGCCTATATACATGCTCCATTTGATCTATTCTCAAACTTTTTACTGACAATAATGTGTCCGTGGATTTTCGTCACTGATGGTGTCAACCGTGGTTTACCTAGTGAAAAGCGTTCTGCATCTTGTATAACAATTGCTAACTTTTAAGGTGCATTTGGCAGGTTTCTGTACCATCCTACTGAGAATCCTGACATGACTGCCGGTAAGACTAATGGGTCTACGTTAAGATGGATTTTGTCTGCTTCATGTCTTCGGGATGTCATGGCTGTTGAATTTTCCCGACCAAGTTGCAGCATTCTTCGTTTAGATGATACTCGATAAATGGCTGGGTGGATTAACAGTTCCTCGTGAACCTTTGGTACTAGTCCAGGTGGTTCCATTAACCACATTTAAATCCCTAGGAAGTAATATACAAGATTTCTGCCAGTATGAATACAGGGTGTTTTTTGATCATGTCCAGCACACAGAGCCAATGGTGTTTCGGAGGATCGAAGAGGTTCGTGTAATCAATTGAAGCTCAATGGATTCATCTCCAACGATCAGTTTCTTTACATGTGCGGATGGAAACTGTCAAGGGACAAGAGCTTGGCAACTTCGTTAATGCATGAGCATCTACTTGAACACTATTCAAATCATCGTAAACAAATACACGTTTAAGCAGCCGCGAGGTTAGGTGGCCCAGGCTAGGGAGTTACCAGGTGGTGTGACTGGAAGGGAGTTCAAAGTCATTCAGAAGGCCTATCTAACAAGTTTCCTAGAAAATTCTATAACTCATTTTCCTAAATATCGCAAACGTACTTTTATAACGCCTTTGGCAAACTCGAACTTTTATTTCGACATTACATGCAGTTTTTGGGATTTTTTTCAGTCCCTTAAAGCTGCAAAATGCACGACATCAATGATTTCGTAAGATCAAAATATTAATGAGTGTTATGAATGCCAGACAGTTTGAGATTAGGTAGCACAAGTAAGGAACTGATTATGGTGTGACGAGTGCTCGGTGAAATGAAACAGAACAGTGGCTCCTTCTCAGAAATCTGTGTTTTTAATGATCTCGGGATATATTAATTCCTGTTTATGCAGGAACATACCAATTGTACAGGCATGGATAAGTTATTATATAAATTACACATATTTCGATGTATGTTGAATTTACAGTTTGTTTGTTCTTTCTGACATTAGAGTCAGTCGGAACGGTCTGCTAAATAGCCTGTATGTGTAACACATAAAGAGATAAAGAAATATTGTCTTCGCATTAACAAAAACCCAGACATCAGATGAATGTAATACAAATATCTGGGAAAAATAAAGCCTGAAGTCAATTCTCCTATATAACTTTGTTGTGAAGAGCATCCTTGGCTTAATGTTCATTGACGTATTATTTTGAGGTCAGTGATATATTTATTCCACTTTTTTCAGCAGTCTAATCGTAGTTTTATAATAGGAAATAAATTTGATCGTGGATACGAAAACTAGATAAGGTCATGTTGGATTGTTTTACTGCATCAAATGTGGCCGAGGTCAATTACAGAACTATCCATTGGCGTCATTTGTGTCAGCATGACAGACTGTACATGTAAGTTGAGTAATACATTGAAAACTGTTTGAAAACCAGTTGCTTCTTTATTTCAGATCAAGAATACTCCTTGTACAGGATGTTGGCCAGCGTCTTCAAGTGGTAGCATGGGATCGTTCATGGAATTTGAGTGTGAATTTACTAAAGTGGTCTGGAGTCCAGCTTCCTTTCATTTTAAATGTAGGGTTGTTCGACCTCGACCAGCAGGTATATAGAAGAGTAGGCTCAGCAGCAGAATACCAGAAAGAGAAAGTATGTGAACATGAAAAGAACACTGATGTTTTATGCATATATAAATGTTTATCTCAATTGTATGTCACCGTATAGTAAACATTACCTTTATTCTAGTTGTGTTTTCATGTGGTTTTGCGAAGTCTTAGAGTTCATTTAGTGTTATAACATATAATAATGAGTTTAAGCGTTATAGTGTTCTAATAGCTGATGCGTTTTAGAACTAAGTGGTGCGGTCTGGTTGGCATAGTCATTGGGGTGAAACAGTGTATACACAAAGCGTTTGAAGGTTATAATAGAGTGACAGGTCCTTATTTCTAGAGGTAAATTGTTCCAGATCTTAGAAAACATGACTATAAAGAAGTTTGCACGGAATGCTGTTTTACAGCTTTTCCGAGATACTGTGCACGTTTGGTTACGCAGGTTGTGGGAGCCTTCCGGTGAGAACTGAATCTCCTTGCTCTCTGAGAATATTTTATGCAAGACTTTAAAGAAGAATTTCATGCAACCGGTTCCTTTATTAGTTTGAAGAGAGAAAGAACAGTGACTTATTGTCATCAAAATTTCATGCAACCGGTTCCCTTTATTAGTTTGAAGAGAGAAAGAAGAATGTTAGATTAATGCTGAGTCGTCTCATCCAGAGTGGGTCGATACCTAGAGTTATACACCTTGATATGTAGTGCTTTTCGCAGTCAAATCCTAGTAGTTTAGACGTGAAGTATCGTTGGACGCTTATATTTTAAATCTGTCACTTATGCGAGTGCTGCTGAGAATAAATGGACAATATTCTAATAGGGGTCTGACACATGTTTCGCTTCGTAGTTGTGGAAATTCCTGAGTATGCATCCTAAGAGCATCCTCGATTTACGCGTCTGCGTTGCTACTTGCTCAGAAAATGTCAGGTCACTAGAGTACCTGAGTCCTAGGCCAACAACACTTTAGAGTTTAGGCAAGTCAATAGATTCAAGTACCAGTTTGATATTTATTGAGGGTGCACCGAAACAGATCCAACCACATTTGTTGAGGTTGAATTTTAGGTTCCATGTGGAGGACCATGCAGTTACTCTATCTAGTTCTTCCTGAACAGCTTTCTGAAAGTAGCCTAAGTCATCACAGTGAAATGTGTAAGCTACTTTAAGATCATCTGCAAAGATGAATGGTTTCCAAGTGAGAAACAGCTGCATATGTCGTTGACATATAGAGTGAATAGGAGGGGGCCTAAGACGCTACCTTGAACTACTCCAGAAGTGACTGGACTAGGCTTAGAATTTACAGAACCCAGTCTAACTACTTGGGACCTATTGTTAAGGAATGATTCAATCCATCCTAATAATGGGTTACTTATTCCTAAGGAGTTCAGCTTATTTATTAGAAGCAAATGGTCAACGCGGTCAAAGGCTTTGGATATGTCGAAGTAGATGACTAGTACTAGTTGTTGTTTGTCACGGCTGCTAGTTATGTAGTTAAAGAAGTCAAGGTGACATGTCATGCATGATCTGGATTTTAGGAATCCATGTTGGTTGGGACTTAGAATATTGCAGCTGAGCATATGTTTGAGGATATCATCTTTAACTATTCTTTCAATGATTCTAGATACTATGGGTGTAATATTGATTGGCCTATAGTTGTTGACTTCAGTTTTTGATCCGGATTTGTGTTTGGGTACTATAAATGTGGTTTTCCATTTATCTGGATAGGTTTGGCTTTCTAGGGACATTGTAAAGATCTTAAGTAATAAAGAGGAAATGTCAGAACCACCGTGTTTATAAAGATACGATGGTATACCGTCAAAACCAGCGCTACTAGAGCTTTTAAGAGTATTAATGGCT